ACATTTTCTTATGCACCCATTTGTCTTCAGTGATCATTTCAGGGGGTGAGCACACAATGATAAGATTTTTTGTTCTCTGATGCCAGATAACTGATCACTTCAGCACCTTGTAATCACGCAGGCTGGTGTGCTTCTTCCATGTGGGCTTTATTGCTTCTGAGCTCCCTAATTGCTTTTAAACATAGCTGAGATCAGTGGGTGGCTGCAGATAAGTTCTCTTCAGAGTAATTTAACATACCATGCACTTTTCTTAGTTTCATTAGGGTGCCTTCTATAAAAGATAGTTTTTGTACCACTGGGGTGGAGGGGGACAATTTTGAAGTCAGCTAGTGTCAGTTTTTTACATTATACAAGTAGACAGATTTCCAAGTTGGGAAACTACCCCAAACTCCTAGCAACCTTTATTTCCTTCAGACTTCATTTTGTTCCCAAAACATGAACATTAAAAGGGAACGAGATTTGTGTCCTTTGAGACTGCCCAAACTGCTGATCGGATGTGATATAAACTGGAGATTTCAACTGCTCAATTCTTTGAGATAGGAGGGTTAGACAACTGGAAACGCCTCCTTTCAAAGTATACAGGCCTAGATTAGTTGCTAACGAGGTGAGTGATCCCCACCCCCTTAGCTCCTGGAAGGGGCTCTGGGACAATGAGGCAGGGTGTAAAAGCAGATACCTAGCACTTTATCCTGGATTAGGAGCTGTTATACAAAAATTGTTTATATATGTTTTTCTTGAACAGTAGGAAGCTAATTAAGATCAGGAACCTATGACCTAGATGTTCAGAAAAAATAGCATATTAAAGATTCCTGTGACTATCAGTATTTTTGACCTAGTATTTCTCCTGTCAGTCTTGGAAACTACCGTTTTCCATATAAATCCTTTACTAAATGAGGTTTGAGGCCAGAGAAGTGGGGCATAAGGGAGTTCCAGATATCCAGGATTGTTGAGAGAATGCTAGAATATATGAAGAATGGATGTTTTACTTGAGAAACTTGGAAGACCTAGAAAACTCAGGTGGTGCTCTAGTAAGTTCTTAATAGGGTTGCTCTGTATGACACGGAGCTATAGGAACCTAGTTTGGGCCCTGGGCAAAAGGCTAAGGAAACTGCCCTGTGACTGTTGGTGGAAATGTTCATGGTCAGTTCCATGATCTTAAAAGATTAGTGGAGAAATGACAAGTCAACTGCCATCAGACTCAAAGAAGGTAGAACTGCCCCTGTGAGTTTCCAGGATTACCTATTTGTGGGAGTGAAAAACCCATTGTCCTCCCTTAGAGAAGCTGGTCGTTTCAAACTGCTGCCCTAGGCGATCGCAGGCCAACTTGTAACTGAAACCCCAGAGACCAGTAGCGGGAAATCAGATACCAAACATGGAAATGCCAGGGTGCTCCGTAGAGTTAAAGATGGCTAACTTTGTCTTACATGCTTTGGACATATGAGGGGGTACTCCCCCACCCCCACCCCGCCGCCAAAATGCTCATTTGTTTTTTTGATGTGAAGGGGATAGTCCACCAGATCAAGCTTTCTATTTAGAGGTTCTGGAAAGATTGTGTAATGGTGTGCAATAAAAGCCTGATTTGTGGCAGTTGGGGGACTGGTTTTGCATCTAGGTGCTCACAGCCATCTGTGCCAGTTTTTGGCAAAAATCAGCATCCTCTTGCCCCACACACGTTATTCACCTGACCTCACTGACTTCTTTTTATTTCTGCAAATGCAGAGAGACATGAAAGGTTAGTGATTTGACAACGTAGAGAAGAGGTAAAGAAAAATGGAGGTGCTGTCAGCCATTCAGACTGATGAGTATAAAAAACGTTCCCAAGAATGGAATTGCCGTTTTAACAAATGTATTCAGTGTAATGGAGAGTGCTTTGAAGATGATAAGGTTGTATTGTTCCAAAAAAAAAATTAAATAGATAGGAGGAATTGTAGGATGTCACAGGACTGAGTGGCGTTTCCTTGTGTTGTGCATAGGGTCACTGTGCATCAGAAGGAATTCGATGGCACTT